GTTTTATAGGTGCTACTTGCCAAAGCATTCACAAACAAGCGTGATTTTGCAGAACATGAAAAGCAGTTTAAATTCTTGATAATGATCATAACCCTATATTCAGAGTTTATGTTATTTTGATAACACTATTTTCAGGACATGAATTTCAAAGACTATTGTTATGACTCTGTTATCAAAACTTCTTGTTTTTATATTATAACGTGTATCTTATCCGCGATTTTACTTAGATTATTCTGTGCATAAAGTACCGATACATGGGTATGATATAATTGGCAAATATCAAATATTTGCTAAATACCATTTATTTTGCCAAATAGCTACAACACAAAAATTATATAAAAATAGTAAGCATGGCGAAGCATGTCATACTGAAACACCCCACCACTCAATTTAAATGTAAAATCTTTTATAAATATATATTTTTTATTTTTATCCTATCACCCTAGCGTAAAGTTTATGATAATAATAACACTTTTTATCATAATTTTCTCGTAGTTAGTAAAAAATTCTTTAACTTAGTAAATGATCTTAATTTTCCTAATTTTATTATTGTTATTCTCAACAGATAATATAAGAACGCGGTTTATAAAGATCGTATACTTGAAACAAACTGAAACCTATAATAATAATTGTATATATATATATATATATATATATATATATATATATATATATATATATATATATATATATATATATATATATATATATATATATATATATATATCCACATGACGATCGTAACATTTGAAGCTTATTTAGCTAATAAAAATCCATTAAAAACAGGACCAATTCTACCATTAGGCGAGACTAGGCGGCCACCTAGGGCGGCAAGATTTTAGGGGCGGCAAATTTTTAGTCAATTTTTGTTTTGTTATTATTAATATTTTCTTATTCTCAACTTTGCATAAGGAATCAAAATATATAGAAAATATTAACTCACTGTCTAGTATTCTTAACTTTCTTTAGGTATTATAAATATGTTTAGTGTACATACATATAAATTAGAGACATGTATATATATATATATATATATATATATATATATATATATATATATATATATATATATATATATATATATATATATATATATATATATATATATATATATACAAAAAAAAAACGAAATAAATACTTGTTTTATGTTTTTCTTATCGACAATTTTAGGGATAGGGAGCAGGAGCGATTCTAAGAATAAAATGAGGGGGACGAATCCTTAAAAAAGCGGTATGGAAGAAACCGCCCATAGAATCCCCCTTGATTCGCAGACATTGTAAACTGAGGTCTGGGAACTGAGTGAACTCTAGTTGTTATTTTTTTCATTCATAATCTTTAATAATCTTTTTTTTTTCTCTCGGTTTAATTATTCGTTTTTTTAATCATTTTTCTACAATGCTTTCTATTCCTTGCTTTTTTTTATCTTTTTTTAACATTGTTTTTTATCTTCTTGCTATATAATCTTTTAATCTTCCAGCGTCATTTTTTGCCCAACACGTTATTCATAAATACAGATTCTGTAATATTTGATCTCTTAAAAAAATAAAATAAAAAAATGCAAAATTGAATAAACAAAAAAGTTGCTTGCAAACAAAGAATGATTTTTGATCAGAAACAATTATCTTCTCGTTAAAAGTATTTATTTGATAAAAATAATAACTTTTTCGTATCAACTGTTTGAAATTACTTTTAATCAGAAAAATAAAGTAGAAATATTTTAACTTGCTAAATAATTTAACGCGCTGATTATATACGTTGACATCACATTATTCACACAAATTATTCTGGTCGCAGTAATCCCGGATTTAAGGGGATTTGTATTTTTGTATTCAAATTTTCTATGAGCACAAAAAAGTTCACTGGTGCAAAAAAAGTGTTACGTGAATAGATAAAAATGTTATCATATTTATAGAAAACATTGTGAAAGAACGTGAACTTCCTAGTTAAATGCTCTTTCGCGGTGCTCTGTGATAAGACCGCGGTGCTCTGTGATAAGACCGTATGGACTTCGAGCACCTTAATTACCAAACAAAAAATCACAATGGTGCTTGAGAAAAAAAGCCCTAAATATTTGGCTCCCCCTGCCCCAAATGTGAGAGCAACAAGGTGATAAAATATTTTTTTTACTACTTAATTTGTGAGGGTTACAAATTTTACATGGTCGTAATTTTTGAACGCTTAGAGATTATACTATGAAACTTAAAACTTATCAATAAATATAAGTTTAATTGAGAAAAATAAGAAAATATTTTATCAACATGTTGTTCTCACGTTTGGGGTATGGGGGAAGGCAATAATTTTTGGGGTCTTTTGTTCCCAGGCTCCAATCTTCGCAACTTTTTGGAAATCTAATATATATAAATATATAAAAACAGCATTTTTGAAAATAATCTGCTCGCACTCCCTAAATGTATTCTATCTAATACAAAAACACTAGGTTAAAAATTTTTTTGAATAAAAAATATCTTAAGACGTCCCTCAAGATCCTCAAATATTTAATTTAATGGGTCCCTAATATTTTCAAAAAAAAAAATTCTTTAAAAATTTGTAAACCTGGTACTCAAATGAAGCGAAATTATATAAAAATTTCAAAATTAATAATCATTTCGAAAAAAAATTGTTATTTTTGGTTTTATTACATAAAAAAATACGTCTTTTAACAAAAAATGAAAAAAATGCATTTTTTTATGTTTTTTTATGATAATTTTGATAAATAAATTAAAATTTTTTCAAAATGAATATTGTTTTTGAAATTTTTATATAATTTTGAAAATATTAGAGATTCATTAAATATTGTAGGGTCTTGAGGGACCCCTTAAAATATTTTTTTTTTTTAATTTAAACCTAGTGTTTTTGTATTAAATAGAACACATTTTTCAAAAAAGTTGTTTTTTGGGACACTCTAATATATATATATATATATATATATATATATATATATATATATATATATATATATATATATATATATATATATATATATATATATATATATATATATATATATATATATATATATATATATATATATATATATGTATATATATATATATATATATATATATTATATATATATATATGTATATATATATATATATATATATACATATATATATATATATATATATATATATATATATATATATATATATATATATATATATATATATATATATATATATATATATATATATATATATATATATATATATATATATATATATATATATATATATATATATATATATATATATATATATATATATATTAGAGTGTCCCAAAAAACAACATTTTTGATACATTACATTTGTTAATCGTTGTACAGCTTTAAATAACCCATTATAAAAATAATAATATAAACTTACAATGACATAAAACATAACAAATATAAACAAGGTACCTGAAAGAAGATCGGAAGGGTCTTGTCGTCAGAACGTTTTAAAAAGCATTTAACAAAGATAAGATTAAAAAAAAAAATTAATAAACTTTTACAAAAATTGCAAGACAAACAATCTGTGTCTGAAGAAAGATCAAGAGGATCTTCTCATTAGACTTTATACAAGAGTAAACCAAATATAGATTAAAAAGTAAAAAGTATAAGAACAATAAATAAAATAAGAAGGAATAAACTTCTATAAACATAAACATGTATATAAACATTAAAAAAAAGTAGACCAAAATATATTTTTTACTTTTACTACTAATAATAACTCAATATATTATCTAATGAAAAAATGAGGTTTTTCAGATTTTTTTAAAAAGGCAAAAAGTAATAGGTACTTCAAAATTAAAATTCGCCAAAACAATTTTATTCCAAAGGTGTGGCGCTCGATAGGTAATACAAAATTGATTAAAGTTTTTTTGACAGAAAGGTTCATTTAAAAAGTTATTATTTCTCAAAATATATTTACTGACTGGTTTAAAAGAGAAAAGATTTTTATATAATAAGGCTAGATTTTTATAGAATAATGCTAGGCTATGGATAAGTTATTTATCCACATATACACAAAACATAAATTATTAAATACATTTACTCGTATATATTCAGTTCATTTCAATAAAATAATGCTTCGAATAAGAGAAGCGATTTGAAAAATTGATTATACGGATTGCGCGTTTCTGACGAAGATAAAGACATTGTAACTTACTTTTTTCTGTACTTCCCCAAGCAATATTGACATAATTTAAATAACTATGTATAAATGAATAATATAGCTGGATTAAGACTTTCTTATTGAGATTCGTGATTTATATAGGATGCCCATGTTTTTAGAAATTTTTGTGTTTATATAATCAATATGGTGATTCCAAGAAATATTTTCATCAAGATAAACACCTAAAAATTTTGTAACAAAATCTCTTTTTATTTCTTTTTGATCGATAAAAATAAAACCCATTTTGTTTTATTAGTATTCAAGGTTAACTTATTACACTTGAACCAATTAGATATATGTCTGAGTTCTTTGTTCACTGTTTTAAAAAGTTCATCGATATCATAGTTAGAAAGGAATAAATTTGTATCATCTGCATACATAATGCTTGTTAGTTTGAAGCTTTATTTAAGTCATTTATGCAAATTAAAAAAAGGGGAGGTCAAAGAATTGAACTTTGTGGGACTCCACAGGTTATATTAAGAAAAATGGGTTGGTAATCATTGTTAAATGGTACAAATTGCTTTCGGTTAGATAGATAACTTTTGAACCATTTTAAAATATTATTTTTATTCCGTAGTATTTGAGTTTATAAATTAAAATATGGTGATCGACCGTATCAAAAGCTTTTGATAGGTCAATAAAAATTTCTAGTGTATATTGTGATTTTTCGAATGATTTTGAGATTTCACGTACAAATTGGATAATTATATGTTCATTTGAGTTAATTTTCTTGAAACCAAATTGATTGATGTAAAGTAGATTATTATCATGAAAATATTTGCATATTCTGTTAAACATAATTTTTTCTAAAATTTTCGAAAATGTCGAGAGAACAGAAATAGGGCAATAATTACTAATTTCAGATTTAGGAATAACTTTTGCAATTTTTAATTGTTCTGGGAATACTCCTTTATGGATAGAAGCCCCAAAGATTTGTAAAAGAAGAAATTTAAGTTGTTCAAAGTAATCTAAAATCACGTTTCCATTAATTTGATCTGCTCTAATTGCTTTATTTTTTAAACAGATTTAAAGGCTCTTTCAAACTCATCAAACATTAATTCGTAAGATAACTCATCTGAACAAATGTGATTATCCAGGGGTTCTCATCTGAACAAATGTGATTATCCAGGGTTATATATATATATATATATATATATATATATATATATATATATATATATATATATATATATATATATATATATATATATATATATATATATATTCATTTAAAAAATAGTTAGTATCCCAGCTAGCACACTTACATTGGGTCAACGTATGTAAAACCATCGCAAACGTCGGCTCTTTTTTCCAATGCAAAACCAAAGTTGATCCAATATCATTTGGTTAATGATAAAATTATTACCGACGGAACTAAAAACATCCACAATCAACACAAACAGGATTTTTGTTCCGATGATCAAGCATTTTCAACCTTATATGTATATATATATATATATATATATATATATATATATATATATATATATATATATATATATATATATATATATATATATATATATATCGATATAGCACCAAGTAGGGATGTACAGGATTTCGAAGCAAAACTACAGGAGCCGAAATCCTGTACATCCCTACTTAGTGCTGAAAATGGTCAACAATGTTGACTATTCAGAATACCAAGTGACAGTTGTTTTCCGTTCATTTTTGTTGTTAAAAAGTTTTATAGTAATTTCTATAGAAATTAATAGACATTTTATATAAATTCTATAGAATTTCTATAGGCCATATGTTTCAAAAATTTAGAGAAATTCTATAGA